AAATCCGGCTGAGCCAACCCAATACAAAGTCCTATCTCTGCATGGGCTGTAACAGAGTCAGAGTTGGTAAAGCGACTGAAATATGATTGCCCAGCTCTTTACTCCTGGGTAACCTTTCAGAACTAAGACATCTGGGCTCATCACTGTGCTGGGGTGTCTCCGAGATTCTGAGCATACACAAGGTGCAATGGAACCCAGTTTTCCACTGAGAACACAAGCTGTTTCCGTCACACAGACTGAGGGAAGAGACACTGATTTGCGTAGTTTATTAGGGTTCTAAGACACAAGCACTGTGAAGATATGTCCCCAACTCCAAGGAGCACTTTTTTGAAAGGAAACTTTGCTACGAGTGATTAACTGATGGGTGCAGGGACAGAAAGGAAGTGCTCTGTAGCAAAAGGGGCATTGTCTGGGGAGTCAGGAGGTGTGGCTGAACCACCTCTTCCATCAGCCAACAAGTCTCTCGGATCCCCTGCGCCTGGTTTCTCTCATTATGCATGGTCTTGTGTACTTAGACTGTGGATTTGGGGGCCATTGTGCTTCATCAAGGGATCCTTTTCCTAGCCATGGCCTCTAACTGCTGGAGCTGTATAATCGTCAACGTTAGCTTCCTGGGACAGATGAGTGCAAACCCTCATACAGGCTTGAGGGAAAGGACCATGTCAGGGCATGGCCACTACCTCAAAGCAGTTTCAAAGAAGTTCAACATTAAACATGCAGAATCCCTACGGGTTTTTCTTTCATCTGTCCATCTGATTGTGATTGCAGTCACTGGATTCAGAAAGAGATCTCTAGCGTGTGTAAGCAACACAGATGCACACTGATTCCCCTTCTGGCTCTGTTGACCTCTAGGCAGGTGTGGCAACTCACAGAAGCCAGAAGATCTAGGCTTTGAGTTTTGCTTCTAAATACATAGTTCAGTATTAGCACATGGGTAATAGCCATCTAGAGAAACCTGTGACTGTATAGAGCGCTGCGAACATGCCCAGCTTGAACGCCCTCTTATTTCCAGTCAGAGCGAGGAAGTCAGGGCTTTGAAGAAACAGTCACCTCAGATAGCAGGTTCTAAAATTCAAGTCTTGGGGGACAGAGGCTTGCTCAGTCTAGTCTTTGCAGAGGATGGAGGTTTTGGTATTTGAGGGCTAACAGCTGAATGCCTGTTCGGCATGGCATCAGGAAGCCTGGGGACCCTGTCAGGGCCAGTCCGTCGCTTTCCTCAGTCTGGAGACCAGATTGCTGTTGCACAAGCCTTGAGAACGGGGAAGGCAGAAGAGTTTGTCAGGAGTGTCGTTTTCTGGCTTTGCCACATGGTGTCACCACAGCCCATCCGCTGTTCAGCACATGGCACCTCCGTTTTAATTTGGTGGTGGCGCTGCTCCAAGGAGAGCGAGGCCTGCAACCTGTCTTCGGCACTGGCTCGCTGTTTTTTGTTTCCAGTCGTCTCTCTGTGGTCTCCCAGTCGACTTAATTTCACTTATCCTTGCTTTTTCTTCTGCTACACGTTCTCCCATGGCAGTCGTTTGCTACCAGTCGGACAGGGACGAGCTGCGTCGTCGTGTCATCCAGTGGCTGGAAGCTGAGATTATCCCAGATGGGTGGTTTTCCAAGGGCAGCAACTACAGTGAAGTCCTGGACAAGTATTTCAAGGCAAGTGACGCGGCACCCGCCTCAGAGGCCAGAGAACATTTCTTCCCCTGTCACTGAAAAGCTGCTGCCATGTCTCCACCCGAGAGGTTCCAGTGTATGATGGACCTGTCAGGCTGGGGGCCAGAGAGGTCTGGTATGTCCCACAGTGTGATGTGTTATGGGCTGCCTGCAGCAGCTGCTCACAGGGCCCTGACAGCCCAGACCTGGAGAATCCCTGGGGATCTGACCAGCCCTTGGGAAGAGGAGGGAAGGCAGGACAGATGTGCGTGTGACAGGGGAGAGAAGATAGCCAGAGGAGAAAAGGTGGGTGAAAGTGCTGGAAAAGCAGGTAGAAAGAGCAGGAAGCCAGGGCAGGGGCTGCTGGTCCTTTGTTCCAGATAATCCCAAGGCCATGTTGAGGTGAGGTGAGGACAGGGGACACTTGAGGGCTTCAAGTGGAATATTTGCTTGCAAGGAGTATGGCCCAGTTGTGGCCAAGAGCTGATAGTTCCCTAGTGCTCTGCAGAGAGAGAGGAACCACTCGTGAGTCTCAAGCCCTGCAGTAATCCCATTCCTCTTCCTTCCTCCCTGTCAGTCTGTCCCTCAGCCTGTCCCCACCCCCTTTTGTAATCAGCAGATCACAGGCTTCTCCTGTGCTCCTGCCACATGCACTGCTTCATCCCTCCCCCTCATGCCCAGCTCCTGATAAAGACTTCAAAGCATTCAGGATGGAGCTAGAGGAGCAGGTGGGGAAAGGGGGAGAGTGTTTAAATCAGAGGCTGTTGACAGCAAAAGATTAATGGTGCCTGACAGGAGTTAGTGCTGCAAGCAAATTTGCCATGGCAATGGCACCCCCTGGTGAGACAGAGGAGCTGGTCCCCATGCTCTAGAGAGCATCTTCGCCTTTGTAACCATTAATGCTGCTCCGTCAGTGGAAGCAGCCTGCTGCCTCGGGCACCCCCACTGCCTCGGGCACCCCCACTGGCACCTGCCAGCACCCGAAAGCTTCAGTGCCTGCAGAGCGGAGCTGCTCAATCCCTCCCCCTGCAAACGTGCTGTCCCCCAGCCGCCTGCGCAGAGAGCCTTGCCAGACCATGGGCTTTGCTGTGCCAGGCACAGGCTTTCTCCACCGCCATGGCACAGCTCGGTCACTCCCTCCAGCTTGTTGCGGTACTGGCAACATCCTCTGGTCACAGCTCAGAGGCAGACAGCCTCATGTTCTCTTTACTCTTCCTGTTTTTCTGGAGCGCTAATCCCAGGCACAAGCAGGTAAAAGTTTCCATGAGCAAGCCATACCTTTTCTCAGACCAAAGGGGGAATTTAATCCACCATAGCAACAACCCTTCAGATTTCTAAAGCAGAATTCAGAGCTTGGAGTAACTTGAGACAAATCCAAGCAAACCAAATTCAATGGGTTCAAACATACACAAATTTATGTCACCAGTGAGGGTCGGCTGTCACTGGAGCAATTCTGCTGTGCGCTGAAAATGTCCTGATTCCTGCCCTTCAGGTCATAAACACTGGAGACAAAGATGGTATAAAACTTTTCTCTTTTCTCCTTGATGGGGAGGTTTGTAGGCATGTCATTAAGCTGTTTCTTTCCTGGAAGCCTGACCTGTGTGGGTCAATGGGATGTGGGTTGTATGTCAGGCAGGCCATGGCCTTGAGGGATGTTATTTCAGGAGTCTCTGGGGGAACACGTAAAGACAGACCATAGTACTGAAAGGCAAGAAAACTAGCATGAGTCTGGGTCACTGAGGGAACAGTGGCCACTTTTACAAGAAATAGCAGGATGAGAAGTTTGTAAGTCTAGTAGAAGTTGAAATGTGTTAGCGGAGCAGTTACACGCAGGTTACAGTGTGCAGAGTAATTTTCCTAGCCCTACAGGTTTCTCCTGAACCACATAGAGGTAACAACAGACAATGTCACATCTGGCATTCC